ACTAAATAAGTGAACATTCCTACGAGAAGGGGACTAAAATAGCATTAAAACACTGAGAAGTGAGAAAAAATGAGATATAATGTTTTCCTATCCGCGACTTATAAAACGGCAAGGACCTATTTTCAAAATAGGCCAAGCGCAATTTACCTCTCCAGTCTTTAAACAAAAATAATTTCAAGGTGAACATGCAACAAGAAGGAATATTGTGTCAATGTCTTGTATGGGAGTAAGTAAACGAACAAAAAGGTGAAGAGACTCACAAACGCTAACATCAGAAGGTACAAATCGGATGACTACATTTTTCGCTTCTTCATCATCATCCTCATCGGAAATGTCTCCATTTTGGTTGAGCTCTTCTTCAGCGAGTTGAAGATCTAAAAAAAGAGATTCAAGAAGAAGCGGGGAGAGGAATATCGCGACTCAAAAGCAGCTCATATACACCTTGTACGTTTCTTGCCTCGGCAGCAGTGTAAAGAGGAACGGTGCGTCTTCTACGTCGCTCTGAAATTAACAGATTTTACAGCCTTTCAGAGCGACGTAGAACACAAATTTGATAAGCTCTAATCTTTGAGTCAACGGCAATTTACACCTTGTGCAAATTTTGCACTACTGCTGTGAATGTTAATCACAGCAATTTATACACTTTGCACATTACATCTTTTGATGGTGTAAGGTATCAAAGGTGAAAAAGTTGTGAGAAATGCTTTTAGTGATAATATGAGCGTTGGTTTGATTTGTGAAGAGAAATTTTCAAGAAAGGTCAACATGTAATGGTTAGGCAAAAATCTTTTTGCGTTTTAAACGCCTCACACAAACATATCTCAGTTCAAAACAAGGATTTTGATGGATCTAAGAGCCTTGATAATCTGTAAACTTTTGCCAATAGAATGCAGCTTCACATATGCCGCTAGCTTACTCCAGTCTGTAAACAAACAAAAAATGTTGAACTCTGTCTTTGCACGCCTATTTTTCACACGTATCGTGTGCAGAAAGTTGTCGAGAGCTTCGAAGCGTGAAAATTGTTGGCTGCAAGAAGCTTTACTTATGCGTTGAAAGAGGTAGAGTTTTGTAGCCCATCTTTATTCTATTTTATTTTATTTATATTTTTTATTTATTTTATTTATCCATTTTACAGAAACGAAGCTACAGATCTTTTGCAGTCAAACAAACGACTGTAAAGGTTCGGCCGTTTACAAAATTCTGCTTCACTCGCAATAGTAGTCGAACCTCTCACAACTTCAGTATGCTTAAGCATTTTCCATTGCTATCATATTTAACGAGCTGCGTTTATGTATAGTCGCAAAAGAAAGCAACACTTTACAACCTTTTTTGAGCCCCCACTGTACAGCAAGTGAAAAGCAAATGCGATGAGCTCAATATCTTCATGCTTGTATTTCTGAATTCAGTTCCTCGAACCAATGCAAATCAAACAAAATCCAAAAAGGAGAAGGCAATTCTTGAAGGAAATATGATTAAGCTTTCTATTAAAACATTCAAATTCCTGAGATAGAGGAGCTTTTACTAGAGAAAATTCTGGCGAAGTTGGGCAACACAAAGAAAAATCGTTGTTGATGATCTAATTGGGCGTAAAATGTGTTTTATGCAATTGCAATATCGTCATTACCCACGCGATTATATTTTTCTCTATAAGGCCACAATAAGCTCATGAATCTGTCTTCGTAAGATATTTTGAAATGCACATTTTAAAAAGGATAAACCCTTCCCTTTCCAAATTCAAACAATCTAGATTTTGAGTTGCAATTTCGATGCTCCGCAAAATCGCAAGGTGCTCTGAGCTATCTGAGCTAATCTAAAAGTTCTCAGAATTCCGTGATTTATTTCTTAAAAGTTACATACCGCTTTTAGATGCATCCACAAGCACATAAATGCACTCTTGAGGAAATGTGCTGAGATCGGTGGAAATTGCATGAAGTATGATGGACGGATATGTCAGAGAGAAACCCAAGCCGGTAGAGCGGCAAATCCACGTTACTTGGCTAAACTTTATTAATTAAAACTATAGGAAGGAGTTCTGCACAGCAATGGAAGGAATTTGTTAAATTCAACAAATGCCTGCCAAGAGATACAATGCGTTCTCTCAATGGAATCAGCACTCACCTTTCGCTGACACAAAGCGTTCCTTCACCAGCACAGTGTGCATCCATATATGCAACAACTTGAGGCTGAGACAGTCGTACTCCAGTAGAAGGTTGGCTCACTTCGGACATAATAATCATATTTGAATGAAATTATGATGAACAGTGCTAGAAACCTACAAATTTTTTTTGATCATTTCAGTACACTGAACAGCATCTACGAGACATAGCACGCTTGGACACGGCCTAAGCTGCAAACGAGACAAATACGTCTAAGAGCAAGGCGACATCCATTTATACACTTATTATAATCTCGATTGGGCGAGCTACACTCAAAAAAGAAGAATTGCCAGAATTTCCTAATACCATTTTGCAATGAGATCCTCGTACGCAGGATGATATCCACTATGGCGACAAAAAGGGCAAACAAACAATGTACAACATGGTGAAGGCAAGACGGCGAGAAATAAGTAAGAACTATTAGAGAAAAAGGAAGGTTCAGCATTACACAGAGCAGAAAGTTATCATGAAATCTACCGTTTTCTAGAATAAGAATGAAGCGGATGAAGCTTGACAATTCTCAGAGAAGTCAAGCAAGAACACAACATTATGACTGAGGGTTAACAGCAGTATGAGAGAGCGATAATTTTAATCAGCAAGCAGATGTATAAAACGACTATAATTGGAGGGCTAAGTTTCAGTGTGCTCTTCACAGTGGGTTGGTAAGGCCTCAAGAAGGCTTTAATAAGTTATTAGCAGCCATATAATGAGTCCTTTTTGAAACACCCTCTCTACGAATTTCTTCTGTTTTCTTCGTACAACTTTGACTGAATAAAACGTTGTAGGATTGCATCAATCAACAATCTAAATTATTTGTAGCAAGGAATGTTTAGCTATCTAAAA